ATGAAAATTAGAGCATTCTTTATGGAAATTGTATAAAAATCCCTTATGCGCGACCTGAGGGTATTTTTTGCTAGAATTTATTAACTCCAACTCCATTTTATAAACTACGAAAAAATATACAATTTAAAAACAAACGTATAAACGAAATCACGAAACAATACGATATTATACGATGTCATCCAAAAGACTGGCAACAGCTCATTACCTAAATTATGACTGTGTGTGAAGTTCGGAAATGGGGAATTTTCTTGTGTACCAATTAATATAGGATCAAATATATGGCTTATGATTAGGGCTGGGATTTTAATGCCCTAAATAATCCCGAAAAATGTCCTAAAAAAAATGCTTTTATGACCTAAAAACTCTAAATAATGCCGTAAAAAACCCCGAAAAATACCCTAAAAAAATGCTTTTATGATCTAAACATTTTTAGATTCTGAGTGGAACGATGAATGTATTGATTTTACAATGATGTGTGTTTTTTTTTTAAATTTTAGATTCTGAGCGGAGCGATGAATGTATTGGTTTTACAATGATGTATGTTTTTATATTTTTATTTATATTTTTATATTTTTATATTTTTGTGTCTGTCATCACGTTTTAGGACAGTAAAAGTGCTTCGATTTTCTTCAATAGTACCTTTTCTGATAGGAAAGTGAATCTAGTTGGTACTTTGGGGGGTCAAAAGTAAACATTCCCCAGTAGTTTTCACAAGCGCCGGGAAAAACAACATAAAAATTAAGGAAAAACGGGAATTTTTACGCAAAATTGGTTTTCCAAAAAATCGATTTTGGTTATTGGTGTAACTCTAAAACAAATGAACGTATATACATGAAATTTTCACTGGTTGTTAATATTTGCATTTTCTATACACGATAACATTTTCAAAATATTTTGATTTATTTTGAACTGTTTAGGGACATTTTCATTTTCCATTTTTTTTTAGTTTTTTTCCTAAAAATATCAATAACATTTTATTTGTTGGTTGCGAAAGCTTGAAAATTTAATAGAAGGCTCCTAATATGTTGTTTCAAAGGCAGATGAAAAATATTAAAAATCCTTAGTCACAATTTTTTTTTATAAGCATTTAAAGTTCAAAAATTGACAAAATATGGAAAAATTACGAAAATTAGCAAATTATTTTGAGTTAAGAATTCGTAAAAATTTTTCTTTTTAAATTTAAGATTTGAAAATGAAACACAAGATTCCTTATAAGATTATCTACCTTTATCAATAAAAAAATCTCTACCGGACAGTCAAATTAAATTTTTATGAGCGTTTGAAATTCAAATTTTTACAACATTGGATTTTCACTCGATTTCTCATGTAGCGATTTCCTTATTTTGTTGTAATTCAAAAACGAATAACTGTAGATGAAAATTTCATTGGATGTTTATATTAGCATATCCTATACACCATACAATTTTGAAAATATTTTGAGTCTTTTCGAGCTGTTTATGGACATTTTCAGTTTTCAATTTTTTTAGTTTTTTTTTCTATAAATATCAATAAAGTTTTATCTGTTGGGCCAAAAAGTGTAAAAATACAAGGCTCCTGATATATTGTTACAATATCAGTTGAAAAATATTAAAAATACATAGGCACGATTTTTTTTTATAAGCATTTAAAGTTGGAATTTTGACAAAATTTATCAAAATCTCAAAAATTATCAATCGTTGGAATTAAAAAATGTTCAGTTTCTATAACTAAGAGTTGAAAATGTAAAACAAAGATTCTCTTAAATAATTCATATTGTAACCAAAAAATCTAAAAAATATATAAACACACTTATTTTTTACAGACATTTTAATTTCAAATTTAGACAAAATTTCATATTTAAACCAAGAATTACGATTTTAGTTATTTTGTTGTGATTGAATAATACTATTCGTGGGTACTTGAAACTTCTAAAGTGTACTATTATATATCTATGATAGTATCACGGTTTTTGTTGATATATAACGCGTTATAAGTATCTAATGGATATTGTGATATGATTAATTTGGAATTTATTATAGGTACCTATTATAGGTCAATTTTTTGTTTAATACCATAGATATGTATATAATATGCCTTATACATAGACTGACATACCATCACCGCTCAGAATCGTTTTTCTTATACAATGATATTATATCATTGAATTCAAATTTAATACCATCCATTATACAGTGACCCACTTGTAACCTACTGTACAGCAGAGCGACACCCACTTGCCCACCTTTTTTTTAAATTTTTTTTTAATTTTTTGTGTCTGTCATCACGTTTTAGGACATTAAAAGTGCTTGGATTTTCTTCATCAGTAGCTTTTCTGATAGGAAAGTGAATCTAGTTGGTACTTTGGGGGTGATAACTCATAAGTTTGTCTACCTTTATCAAAAAAAAAAATGTCTATGAGAAAGTCAAATTAAATTTTTATGAGCATTTGAAATTCAAATATTTACAACATTGGATTTTCACTCGATTTCTCATGTAGCGATTTCCTTATTTTGTTGTAATTAAAAAACGAATAACTGTAGATACATGAAAGTTTCCCTGAATATTTATATTAGCATTTCCTATACACTGTACAATTTTGAAAATATGTTGACTCTTTTTGAGCTGTTGACGGAAATTTACAGCTTTCAATTTTTTTTAGTTTTTTTTTCTTTAAATATCAATAAAGTTTTATCTGTTGGGCCAAAAAGTGTAAAAATTTAATACAAGCTTCCTTATATATTGTTACAATATAAGTTGAAAAATATTAAAAATACATAGGCACAGTTTTTTTTATAAGCATTTAAAGATCGAATTTTGACAAAATTTATCAAAATCTCGAAAATGATCAATCATTGTAATTAATAAATTATAAAATGTTCAGTTTTTATAGCTAAGGATTGCAAATATAAAACAAAGGTTCTCATAAATAGTTCATACTGTAACCAAAAATCTAAAAAATATATGAACACAGTTATTTTTTACAGACATTTTAAATTCAAATTTGGACGAAATTACATATTAAAATCAATATTAACGATCTTTGTTTTTGTTGTAATTTAAAAATATTATTCGGGGATATATGAAACTGAAAAATCAAAATATAATGGCCTATCCATACAATCTACCATAGTATAACTGTATAAGGAATAAGAATTATGCTCACGATAAGACTGTGCATATTTTAAGAAATTTATTCATAAATTCCATATCATTTAATACCATAGAAAAGTATATAATATGTCTTATACCTAGACATACCTAGTATCACGGTTTTTGTTGATGTATAACGCGTTATAAGTACTTAATGGATATTGTGATATGATTAATTTGGAATTTATTATAGGTACCTATTATAGGTCAATTTTTTGTTTAATACCATAGATATGTATATAATATGTCTTATACATAGACTGACATACCGTCTCCGCTCAGAATCGTTTTTCTTAAACAATGATATTATATCATTTCATTCAAATGTAATACCATCCATTATACAGTGACCCACTTGTAACCTACACTACAGCAGAGCGACATCCACTTACCCACCTTTTTTTTAAAAATAATTTTAGTATAAATTACAATAAAAAGTTTAAAAAAATGCATTACCTAAATCTATTACAAGTGTAAGCTGTCAATACATAGTTTTAGTATACAAAACTCGTGCTGAACGTCGAACGATATCATCGGACCGATTTAAGATTATTTAACAGGAAATGCGGGTAGAGGTTACTCAAACCTTGTTCGATAATATAATACGAATTACGAATACCTACTTATAATCTGTTGTATTTATTTAAAAACTATGTTGGTGTAAAAATCTTAAAATAAAATTTCAAATTCATACTTGGTTTCCAAAAACTCAAAAAATGCTCCAAAAACTCTAAACTGCCCTAAAAAATTAAGAAAATGACCTAAAAACTAAAAAATGCAAAATAAACTTTCTTATATTCTCATTGAAATGTACATGAAACAAATTTGTGACAAGACGAGCATTGCACAGTAAGCTTAGGAAAACAATGCAAAGTGCATCGAAATCCCAGCCCTACTTATGATAGTTATTATGGTAGATGACAAATATATGTACAAGCATTTTATTCATTACACTTACACAGTTACACACTAAAATACAAAGCACGACTTACTGTAGAACTGTACAAGTACATACAAGAATAATATTTTTTTTTTCGAGACTTTTTTTTCTAGTGTGGGACTTTTTTTACGTGGACTTTTTTTACAGGGACTTTTATTTCCGATTACCGGAGAAATTAGTGTGCGATGTTTTATAGAACCAATTTTTGTGCAGGCGGCCTCCTTATCTCTAGTCTTCACGAAACAGACTATCTTTTCGCTGAGAAGTTCGGAGACTCAAACTATGATAAGGCACATCGTTCATTCGTTTCGACGAGGTGATTGTATCGTATCCTGTGACCTGTATAATATTTTAATTCCTATTTCCTGCTTTGATTAAACAATTGGGCTACTGGCTACTGCAGACTATTGACCGCGACAAAAATGTTGTCATGTTATTGACACTTGACAGTTGACAGTGTCCCTTTGCAGTGTTTGCCATCGCCCATCGTGTTCCAACTGTTCCAAGCTAAATTCAATTGTTAAAGTCCATAACGGTAAATACCTTGGATTTTCATTTTATCAATAATATTGGGCATTGGCTGTAGATTAAAAAAAAAAAATGTTTATTTATTTCACAGTTCGCTGTATTTTGTACTTTGTATTTTGTTCATTCTTCATATTTCATAATAATATTATATAGGTAGTATTCATAAAAAAAAAAAAAAAAATTGTAGTATAATGCATTGATACTATGTAATTATGTAAACCGTTTAAGCGATAAATTATCATCACGAATCTTAATGTTTATAAGTGCAATTTATAAATTATTTTATGAATTTTGTTCCAATTAAACTAGTAGTAATAAATTGTATGCGACATATTTAATTTGTTATTTTTATTTTTTAGTGACCAGCAGAGAAAATTTGTCATTGAAGTAATTGGATAACTTCATGAATACCTTAAAGTTCAATAATTTAATCAACCAATTGAAAACGTAAGTGATGTATGACTTATTTTTTTACTGCATACTGTATTACAACATCAGTAGGTATAATTTTAATTTTATGGAAACCTTACACTTTTCCTACCCACAAATTGATTGATAGGTACAGAATCCTTAAATTTGTTATGCTATATTTTTGGATATTACTAAAATTATCTTGAGTACATTAAATGGATGATTAAACCATGAAATTCATTTTATGAAAATGCACTTAATTAATTACATTTTTTAATCACAAGAATCGTACAAATTAATATGGATATTCCGTTCATAGAAATATCGGTTTTATACGTAGATTATATTTTTAGTTTACATAAACTACAACATAGGTCTTCGTGAAATATGTGAGGCCTTATTTCTGTAACAATTTTCAATTATCATATTTTATTTTTAATGTAATGACGGTACGGGGACAAATGCTATTAGATATAAATTGCTATAAAATGAGTCATTTTGTTTTCCCATTCAGTTAAACTGTATAATATATAACTTTTACTCTTGATAATTTATATAGTTGATACTGATTAAAATATAAAATACCTACCATATAAATTCATAATATTGTGTATTTTGCTTTATTTCAGGATAAGTAGTTTAAACTTAAGAAGAAAAATGACCACTAAAATAAATCCAACAATGAACAATGAACACAATATTGTATGGTTTGATGGTGAGGTATGTAATTATTATTAACTCTACTTACTTAAATTAATCAAACATTAACACATACATGGGAATTTTTTGAGCATGTTCACCCCATTTTTATGTTTAAATTATGCATACATTCCAATTTTAATTTATGGATTTTTTATTAATTAAAGAGAAAGACATTATTATTGAATACTTAGATTTTCACATCGTTAGGCAATACCAACATTGGGTTTCAAATGAGAAAGTACATTTTTTAATGCAAATACCTTAAATTTAAACCTACCTATGGAAATAATTTACTATACGTAAATTAATGAGTCTGTAAACATATTTAAACTAAATTGAATTTATCGATTTTCAGATGACTGGATTAGACTGTAATCACCACACCTTGATCGAAGCAGCTATTATTATAACCGATAAAAATTTAAAAGTCTTAGCTGAGAGTCCAAATATTATTATACATCAATCAGATGAAGTATTAGAAAACATGGAAGATTGGTCCAAAGAGCATCATGGAATCGTAAATAAAATATTTTAACACAATTTTGATAATTTTTTATTCTCAGTAAAGCAAGTCTTATCAGTTATCCACACTATACTCTGTTCAAGTTAAGAAACATAGTCAGAGGCTGACTTGTGCGCGGGGGCATGGAAATAATACCCACAGGTATACAGATAATTAACTGGATGGGGGGGGGGACAAACGGGTGTTGATTTACTGTGGCTTGGCAAAAACTGGTCGTCGCCGACTACATTTCTTAATTTGAACAGAGTATAGGTGAATCACGGACGTTTCGTCCCCGGCAATTATTGAGATAGGACATTTCGTCCCGGAGAGTTATTAGCCATAGGACGTTTGGTCCCCGTCATATTTTCATTAGGTATAGGACATTCGGTTCTCAGGTTATTAATTACTTCAAAGTGCATTATTTTACTAACATTTACTACATTTATTTTTAATGAGCAATTCTGTAATGTCTCATACTCTCCTCATATACAGTGTTGTAAAGTATTCGAGTAAAAGTATTCAAATTCTTTTTTCCGTATTGAATACTTTTTTTTTTATTCTTTTAATTCTTAATTTGTTTCTACTTATAATTATTTTTGTTAAATAAAAATACCATACCATCGTGGTTTTGTTCTAACATTACTACAATGTAATATTATATGTTTATTTAACTACTTTATTTTAAGAGTAGGTATTTGATACGGAGAGTATTCAATATAGATGTGCAATGCGTCTGCAGCTACTGCATTGGTACAAAAACAAAATGAAATAATATATGTACCGAAAATAGTTAGTTTTAAGGAAAAGAAATTGCAATCATAATATTGTACGGGATTTCAATATAATGATGACAATTACATTTTATACTATTTAAAAAACATAAGTCAGTTGACCTAAAAATAAATATATAATTTATCTTAATATTATAGTATTTCATTTTAATTTATTAATTTTTACTACATTTTGTGTTGACTTAATACAATTGTGATTTATTTAAATCTTGACTATTTGTAATTGTATTGCATGAATATTGATTAGTATTTGTATATTTTGTACATTTAAAGATGAAATTGTTCATTAAAAACTAATGTATTTATATTATCAAAGTATGCCTATGGCTAATAACTCTCCGGGACGAAATGTCCTATCTCAATAATTGCCAGGGACGAAACGTCCGTGGACTGGTTTTTTTGACGGGGACAAAACGGCGGGGGCAAAACGTCCGTTTACCAGTATAGGTCCCTATATTTTGTCTGGTTTTATTTTTTTACCTTTTTTTGGATAAACTAAATATTATTATTAAAATTATTAAACATTTTAATAATTATTTCTCTCGAAGAGCTTATTTATATCCTAATAAGTGCCATGATCCAAGAGTATATTTTAAGACCTTATAATATTATCTTTACTTTTTGGTCCTTTCATTGTCAACTAGTTGTTTTTATACACCTTTGTTGTATGAACTATATTTGCAAGACAGCAGCGTGTACAGATTTTCTAAATCATTCCTGCTTAGTCTAGAAACAAGTGAGCATTTAATTGTATGTAGACAAAATTCTACCTATTAGGCATTTAAATTATCCTTGAGACTCCTCTGTTCAAAATAAAAAACCTAGTCGGCGGCCAGCTAGTATGTAAGGGCATGGCCAATACTACACGGCTGATATATAGATTGTTGACTTGGTGGGGGGACAAAAGAGTGTTGTCTGACTACCGCTGCCTACTGTGTTTCTTAACACGATCAGAGTATATATTGATACTTGATATACCTGGTGGCTGGTTGTATCATATAGTATCTATTTTGAAAAATGAATTTGTCACTTACCTAACCTTTTATTTTGTGTGTATTTTTGTTTTAGAGTGGCTTGACTGAAAGTGTTAAAAAGAGTAATGTATCAATTGAACAAGCTGATCAAATGTTATACGAGTTTATCAAGCCATTTGCTCCTAAAGGTGATTTTGAAAATATATAAATTGATATGTAATTATTCTTGATTATTTAAATTCAACCAGGTTAATGCCAGAGTAATCATTAAATTATAACATTTATTATAATTGTAGGTGTTTGTCCGTTAGCTGGTAATTCTATTTACATGGATAGAACTTTTATTAGAAAATATATGCCAAAACTTGAAAGTCATTTAAGTTATAGATTAATAGACGTGTCTACTCTAAAAGAGTTGTTTAAGTATGTATTATATATAATTTTTATATTAATATATTTTATTTTCTAAGGGTTTTATGCAGGAAGACTAGAATAAGGTGACAACCAAATTCAGCTTCTACAAACGGACCAGAATGAGTTACATGTTTAAAAGACCACAGGCTGCACTGTGGTCGCATTGGTTGCTACTTCAACCTGCATGGCTGCATAGTATAAGGATTACTCATGCATGATTTTGAGCCATGACCCATTATATAGCTTGTAAAATTACAAAATCATACATCAGCATATCGTCCCCATTCGTGCAAAACACTAAGTTGAAAAATTTATTTTTCTGGTTTATTATTACATAGAATTCAGTTTAAGAATATCTACAATAGTCTATATTTCCCAATATTTATTTATTTACGGGTAAGAACCCAATTACATAAGATTAATAATTTAGTACATATAAATATTGTATAAATAACATTTGGAAAAAACTAACTACATACCTACTTAATTATAATAAATTAAAAATCACAGAATATAAGTCTAGTAAAAAAATTTTCTTACATAAATATTGAAAGAATTAATTTGTCAAAATTAAAAATTAAAATCAATTTGTTCATCATTAGCGATAGACATCATTCTATTTATAGGAGCGGATGATGCATAATTTGTTTAGTGTTCATTTAAATAAAATGAAGTAATGATTGATGACCTAGTTTTAAGTTTAGAAACAAAAATATCAAAAAAATCTTGATGGCATAAGATAGAAAACAAATCCATTTAGTAGTTACAACAAAAATATTATTTAAGTAACATAGTGTAACAATCGTTCAAGAAATTATATATGTATTGTGTATCAATGACTATCAGGCTATGTCTTACCTTGAACACATATATATGGGCATAAACGATGTGTTAAACAAGTTAGCAACTGTTGTGACCGTAGTGCAGCCTGTGGCTGTTTAATCATGCAACTTATTACTGGACGTTTAAAAGTGAGCGGCTGTATGATATTGGTCTTAATGTTTTTATGTTTTGTAGTTTGATAATCTGAAATTCAAAGTTTCTGATACATTTAATTTATTTGTCTTCAAATTTTTACATTATGATATAAAAGTTCAAAAGTGAGTTAATACATCTTATAAGTGAGGTTATCAAGAGCCTACAACTAATCTATCTTGAATTAACAGTTTAATTTATTTTAAATCCCATTTAACAAAAATTTTGAAGTATATAAAAAGTTCTAATTAACATATGCAATTTTTAATAAATGTATACATTTTAGACGTTGGAAACCCGAATTGGCTAATGAAGCTCCAACCAAATCATGTAAGCACAGAGCTCTTGATGATATTAAAGAAAGTGTTAAAGAACTCCAATTTTACAAAAGCTGCTTAAAGTTATAATTTATATTGAAGAAATATTAAATTCTGTATATCCATTCAACAAGACATTACCTACATAGATTTACAACAAAACAAGCATCAAATTAAACTAGAAAAAAAATAATGTTACAAGTACTTTGAAATTTCCCTCTTCATTATAATTATGTAAAATTGCTATTTATCATTGTTCTCCTCCTGCATTATAAAAATATTTACAAGGCAGAGTGCATAATTTATATTGGTACTTTTCAGGTATCGCGACTACCAACCATAGTAGGTATACATCATGACATATTAGATAGGTATCATCACAGTATTTTGATACGCATCCTCCTCTCTTTACTTTGCCTTTATCATAGTTCTCCACTTTTTATTGGCTATCAATCATATACGTACATCTATAACATAGAACAAAATCAACCAACGAGAAATGGAGAAGTACGACATCGAACGGAGGTGAAGAAGATGCTCAAAACTAGTACAACCGTGATGATACCTATCTAATTTGTCATGGTATACATGTAGAATTGGACCCTTCACTCTCTCACTAAATTGAAAACATCCCTCCTTAAGTAGGTCTCGGAGTAACCCAAATTAACATAACCTTACCTCAAGAATTATCCAAGGTGGTTTTACATAGAAAGTTGTGGGATATTATCGATTTAAATTGTAGGATATAAATATATAATATTATGTGCTTTTAAAAATTTTGTTTTTACTCAAAACTACCCTAGGTGCCAGATGGTGTTACATATCAAATCGAGGAATATTTTTTATTTAAATTTTCAGAGTGAGCGAGTGGCCCCACCGTGTCTTGAGTATATTATGTACTATGGTTGCTAGTCCCGAAAACCGAAAATTACCTTAATATAAAATATTAAAAAGCAAACTGCTCACTACATAAATTACCAATTAGACACCGTTTACTTATTCAGTACAATGAATATTGTTATTTGTAGAAGAATAATTTGTTATAAACAGATACTGCCATATTTGTCCCTGTTTATTCCCTGACAGATGTTGTAATGAGAAATATTGTTGTTCAGGCATGTTAATGAATGTTATACCTACACTTGTGTACCTTATGCCCTGTCCAGACCAAAGAAATATTTGTCAGAGACACGTATCATCTACAATGTTACTGATTTCTTGCCATAAGCGGTAACAAATATTTGTTGATGATGTCAGAAACATATATTACCGACAAATCTTTCTTGGTCTGGACCGGGCTTTATGAACAGTTGTACTACTAAAATACTATATTAGTATTATAGTACCAATTTTACTCTTTCTTTTCCAATATTAGTATAATCTAATTTTAATTTCGATAAAATATATTCAATAATATTATGATATTTATAATAAAATAACCATAGCCCAACACTCAATATTTTTCATCTACAAGGTAAATCTATGAATTATAAATATTTGTTTGTTAATAAGTAACCATGATTATGTAAACCTTACAAAAAATCGGTCAGAAACAAAAAACGTGTATCTAGCCCATAAACAATATTTATCACAATTGTATCATTAAGAAATAAATAAAAAACAAAATGATTTTTAACATTATTATTTTTGTAATGATTTAAAAAATATTTTACATACGTACCAATATAATGTAACTATATTACTTATACAACTTGTTATTCTATCTGGCCAAATATATAATGAGATAACTACAATACTTTAACATAAACTGTATAATACATTTATTTTAATGAACATGTTTTATTTTAAATGAATAATTTTTTATAATAAAGTAAGAAACTGAACAATTTGTTGTTTTATCATTTATGTAGTATAAGCTAAAGACAATACTGTTAGAAGTAAGCTACCGACAATCACACCATATCCAGTTGAATAAACTTGTTTGATGGTCAAACATTTACCGGCATCCCACACCTAAACAAAACAAATGGTATTAATTTTTTAAAACTAAAATTGGTATTAAGTTTGTAATTTGTTAAAACTCACCAAATGTCTAATACCATTACATAGGTGATAGAAGAATGGATAAGCAACTAATCCTTTAGCTGACATAATAGCGGCTGATGGTAGTTCCAACCCATGTACAAATTGCACAAATGTTGGCAAATCCGTGAAAATGAATACTGTAATAAAATATTTTAATAAATACAAAATTATCGAGTGAGAAATACCTAAACTAATAAAGTTTTGAAAAATGAATGACGCTATGACACAGATAATGTGTGCTACTCAATTTATAAAAAAATTTGATTATTAAATTATAAATCTTTTTTGATATCGGTTTATGTAGAGCAATTTTTACACATTTGATATTGGTATAAATAACTATGCAAGAAACTATAATCTGTCCAGTGAGATAACTCAACTCTACCTTGTATCTAAATCAGTACCCAACCTTTTCAACTCGGGGCCACATTCAAAATTTAATTTTATACTGTGGACTGTATACAGAGCCCGCAAGTGAAAATAGCGAATTAGGCAAAATCATATTTTTCCACCATTAACAATATAAAATTATCAGTATTTTGAAAATGCAGTCCTCTTTCTATAGTGCTGCTTAAGTGCCGTCCTAGGCGTGGGCCTATGTCGCCTACCCGTTGAGCCGGGCCTGGCTGTATATACCGGTGATTTTGATCAAACATAAACAATTAATATACATAAAAAATATAAAATGTTTTTTAATTCTTAAAAGCTCCTTGAAATAACTTTTTTTTTTTAAATTTAAATTAAAATTTTTATTTATAATAATACCTACAATGTACGGGTTGGGCACCTCTGATCTAAATGATGGGCAGAGGTTTAATATTTCTCCAGCCATGAGGTCATGTACGTACAACATGTTTTGGTTGCCGCCTGGTTGCGTTCTCTCAATGAGCAGAGAACAGTAATGACTAATGGTACTAACATGGGATCACTTTTGAATTACTTTGTAAATACGTTGATTATATTTATACGTCTACTAGCGGGGTAAGGCCACTGAAGTAAATATAATCAGTTTTTGTTTTTTTGATTGTCAATCAAATATACTTACGAATAGATAATTTAAGATAAAAAAACAAAACTTACATGCTCCTAATCCAGCAGTAACGCCACTCAATGCCACTCCAGTTCCACGATGTGTAATAGATAACAGGGTTGTTAATTGAGGCTTATAAATAGTCAAGTGAGGAGACATAGGTCTACTAAGGCGGTTATTTTTGTCATCATGAGTCTCTTTTGATTTCTCCTCAACTTCTTGAACAGTTTTCACTTGCATGGTAATCATGCGGTGTCTAGAAAATAAATTTTAAATAAAAATAAATTACACATATTTTTTTATCATACTGGTCTAGTTTTTCAGTTTATAGCTGCAATAATAATGTATAAGGACTTATATATTTTTTTTTTGTATACAATTTCTTCTTAACTTAATATTTTTCAAATATTTTAAAAATAAAAAACTACATAGTGTCTAGATGTCTTAGTAGACATAAAAGGAATCACAAAATAATGTAATACTCAATGAAACGTCACATGCATACATTGTAATTCTACATTTTATAAAATCAAATTATATTTCAGATTTTTAACTTTCTTTTGGAGATAAAATTATAAATAATATTTTCTTTGATATAGTGATATCCGGGCGCAGTAGGTGTATTAGCAACCAATGTGCTATGTTAATTTATTACAAGTATTATAATGTTGAAAAATATATTGTATAGCCATTGTATATTGCAATTAATATAGCCACTATTGAATATAAATTAATTTTCAAAATATAAATATTAGTAATTGTATACTAGTAATAAATTTATTTTATTGTTTTTTCTAACATTCCTCTTTGAAAATCCCTGGCTAGGCGCTTGGCAATAACAATACTACAAAACTCTACAATAGCCATAAGCCCATAACTCATAAGTCGTAAGCTATATTTAAAGTGTTAAAAAAATTTTAATAAATAATAATTAATAGGTAGCACTATATTATTAAAATCATAATCTTTTTACTTACATTGTCGGTGATTGAAAAGACATTGTTTGTCTAGCTGTGCATAGTCTGTGTACACTGAAATATTTCAGAATATTTAAGTTTATAAATTTAATAATTAATAAATACAGTTTTCAAATTAAATTTTTAAATTTTATTTTTTTAAATAATATATTATATAATATTTACTATTTTATTTATTTATTTATTTGAATTAAGCGGGTTTAAGTACCCAATTGCGTGTATAATTAGTTGACAATGTTTTATATAGGTATTTAAAGGAAATTATGCTATAATAACTGAGTAATAATGTTTTAAAAACAAGTAATGTTCTTAGAGAAAAATATATATTTTAAGTAACACTAAAATAATATTATATGTGCAAATTCTAAATTATTATTATTTTATTGTTATGCTAAGTATTTATTTAAGATTAAACACAATCTGAAATGGATAGTCTTGATCTTTTATTGACTGTCTAAATATTTGAGAGTGTTGCCAGGCTGTGTCCCCAGATCCTCCAGATAAAGTTGCATTTAATGTAACAAAATGAGCACCTTCCATTTGATCAACAATGACTTCTTTAATATTTTCAATAGTAGGCAGATTCACGGTTAGATTGTTTCCAATCAATTTCCATTCAACTTGACCCGTGTTGAATAGAGCTGTAGTATAAATTAATTTAACGTCTTGTATAACCAGACCACTTGAAGAAAAGTCAAATCGCCATTCTATTGTTGATTTCTCGCAGTTTTCTTCTCTACATAGATAAACATTTTTCCAGTCTAATTCTTCTTTGCGGAATAATGAGCTATAACTATACACACCACTTTTCCATCCTTTGTGAATGCTATTGCCATGGATATATCTATCAATAGCAGTAGAATATTTGAGCTCAAATCTTTTATTGGCTATTTCAGTCTCAGACGGAGTCCAAACAAATTTCTCAATTTGTATTTCCCCTCGAGCTAATCTCCACGTAAGAGCCCCGGACGTTCTGCCACCATAATTTTCACCAACAGTACATGTAGGCTTAAATAACATTTCAAAACACTCCTTCAAACGTCTTGCTGCAATATATTTACACCTTGATAGTGATAAATTGTTTTGTCTATGCTGCGACAAACTTAAAATTGTATTCAACAAATCGTTTTCTGAACAAAGTGTTCTTCTTTTTAAAACGTCATAATTATTTTCTACGTACCGCCAAGTAACATCTTGAACTTCTTCGTTAGAATAGGCTATAATATACGACAATTTTTTCCCCCAACCTTTTTCATATAGCAATGGTTTGTCTAAAGCAGTTTCACACGGATCACAATGAATCCATCTTTTTTGATGAACTGACAAAACTTCAGTCCATACGTGATCAGTTTTATCAACTGCCAGTCTTGCTTCCCAACCAAGAGCTCTACAGAATAAAGTAAAACAGTTGGCCCATTCACCGCATCTACCCTGACGAGCAGTTAAAAGTTGTTCACAGATACCATATCTCTTAAACTCAGTGATTGTACAACAGTTATTGCATTCATACATTTCTGAATATTTAACGTTTTCATCTATTTTTTCGTGATTTATTCCTTTAAATTTAGTAGTACTAGAGCAAAACTGGCAAATTGGTGTATCGAACCATTTAAAAAATGATTCTTTAAACCAAGTCATAAGTTTTAACATCATTTTTTCGTGGTAGAATGGTTCATTTTTGTTGAAGTTTGAAAATAACTCAATGTCTTCAGGTGATAAATTGTCTAATGCTTTACTTTGCAATATTTTATCTTCAAACTTAAGCACAGCCAATGATGTTAAACTAATTTCTTTTAAGAAACTATTTTCATTAAAATTTAATTTTTTATGTTCTGAAATTATGTTTGTAAGTTGTTGTTTGCAATCATTTAATGTACTTAAGCTTATACATTCTGGCAACACTAAAGAAATTCCGTCATCTATAAACCCTATTTCAAAAAGGAATTCCATAGCCCCGGCGAAAGGCAAAAGATTATTTTGAATTACATCGCCTTCCAAGTAGAGTCTTCGGAATTTCGGTTGATTTGGATGATTTATTATGTCATTGAGGAGTTGCAATAAAACATTGACAACTCGAAAACAGATATCGATACTATTGCTTTTTATATCATTTAAACTCTGAAGCATTTTGTGATAATTTTGGTTACAACAAAATTAAACTAAACTTTTGTTTACACATAAACTAGTTATAAATTATTATAATTATATTACCTTCTTAAATACAGAGCCATTATGTGAGAAATAATTTACAATTGACACGCACTTGAATGAATAATTTATACTTGGAAAAGTGAGTTAGTGAAAACTTATTTATTTGATGATAATATATTATGAAGGTGAATAGTGGATACTGAATAGTGAATAATACTGAATTGAAATCATTAATCCATAATATTGCAACACATTACTTTAGGACGAAAATCAGCAGTATAGTTTTGGTCAATTGGAAACTCAATATCAGCTGATAATCTTTATCATTTATTATCATTTATTATCAGCAAATTATACCACGAACTAAGATATCTTAGTCCGTGGTTTATACCTTACTATATAATAACAATTGTTCACGGCCAATTTATATTAACTTACATTCCGGTTGATGTTGGTCACTCCCGTTGTTCGTTGGTAATCGCAATTTTTTTAAATGTTCGTAATAGTCCGAACAAGTATCTTACGAAAATCAAATTTGGGAAAGTTGCTCAGAAAATTGGACGGTTTGATGTAGACTGTACCTACAACCGTAGAGTCTAAACCATGATAGCAGGACACTCGGAATTTTCATGGTAAACATTCTTACAATCAGCGACGTATATATTGGGTGGGCACAGTGGGCTGCAGCCCCCCCCCTCGAAATTACAGTCTTTTTTAAATAGAACGACAATATATTTTATTAGGTACTATTATAACTTATAATCTATATTCTATAAGTTATAATATTTCATAACCTGTTGAAAAGTAACAAATACGAATATATTTATAGAAACTGTTAAATATATAGTAGACCACTATAGCCCACCCCAAAAATTATTTCTATATATACCTACGCTACTGCTATCGTACGGCTAGGATATGCCTAGATAATTTATGTATAGAGATGATCACGCAAGGATCTTACCGTGGAAAACGACATTTTTTTTCTGATTATAAATGGTTGCCATTGGACATTGGTTACAGATTGTCTTATATAATATTATAACAGTAATATAGTTATAGACTTAACTCAATATCTGTACAAAAATAGGTACCCACTAAATTCGCTAAATTACAGTATTACACACCCACGTAAGTAGGTACGTTGCACTTTCCCCCTACAATCCAATCCGAATTTTGCAATATTTTCGCTCCAATAATTAGTGCTCAATTCTTGTCAAAGCTCTCCTGCATTTCTTTCCTGACCTGCTATTTATAATTCCTGCAGGACTATCCGTTTTCCCGGAAAATCGAACTTTCCCCGGTCCTAACTGTGGATAGTTTTTAATCAGGCACCACCCACCTTCTAAATTGAACTTCTTACAATCTAATTTTTCAAAAATATTTATCTGCAATACCTACCTACTATTATTATTTTATTTTGGTATTTATCGTATTCTTTTTCAGAACAATATTGAAAATGTATAATCTATGATATTGCTCAAAATAATAAAAAATCAGTTATACTTTTCATTCAGTTATAAACTTGAAACTGCTTTTTTAAATTAAAAAAAAATCTCGAGAAAAGAAAAAAAATTGCTAATATACCTAATTTGAAATTGAAATTTTGAATTTTATATTTATAGTTTATTTTTACACTATTATTATTTATTATATTTAATCTGTGTATTATAATATTTTAATTGATGAATGTGCATTGTGCAATGGAAATATTTTTTTTTTTTATGTTTATTTAATTCCGTGATACCACCTATGATACCAGTATACCACTAAGGCACTAATACAATTTTTAGATAGGCCATGATGACATTTGGAATTTTCACAGTGAATCTAACGGTCAAACATCAAAACTAATTACTTGGTCTCACGAGTCTCGGAAATACGAATTTATTGATATATAAACGCATATTATATATTACTATATTATATTACTATTTACTTATGTTATTTTTTTATTGACATTTTAAATTCGAATAGACGATCATAGCTCTGAAGAAACAATTAAATCTATAAAAGTAAGGATTTCAATTGGTCGGCAGCAGCAGCAATTGTTCACATTGTAATTGCTCGATAACCATAATTTGAATGTAAATAAAGAATTAACATCAGAAGATGTTGTTATAAATTCGCATTATTCAATTGAAAATTACGAAGATATTGATGAAACCCGTTTAGAGGTGCGTATGTATTGCATAACTACGAGTCTACGAATTATACATTGCCTGTACTTACCTATATATATATATAATATATATTTTACTATATTATATTATGTTATTTTTTTGACGAAATTTTATACTCTATTAGATGTCTGAAGAAACAATTAACTCGATACCAGTAACAATTTCGAATGATCGACAGCAGCAGCGATTGTTCGCATTGCTCGATAACCATAATTATATGATTATTATAGATTTAACGTCAGAAAATGATGATGATACAAATTCTTATTATTCGATTGAACACAATGATGAATAAGTCAGAATAACAAAAAATAACAATAGCCACGCATATCAACAATAAATATGGCTTATAAATTAAAAATAAATAAATAATTTCTATTGTTACATCATAATGTCACATACTCATATACATATATATTACGGTACATATATACCTATATGTAGATAGACAGATAGTTATAGTAGTTACGAAATACGAATATAGGTATAAACAAGGCTAGGCAAGTTGATGATTTTTTTTTTAACACAGATAAGTTAAGTATTAATATGCAACAATGACAAAAATTTAAGAGTTAAAAGTTAATAAACACTTTTTGTTAACTTTTTATTAAGTTAAAAAAAGTTAATTTGTTTTTAAAACTCTAACGTACTTATTTTTTTTATTTTTTCCAACCCAAAACTAAATTATACACTTTATAGTGTTCTTACTTTATACAGTATTTCCATATAAATTAGATTCGAATGATATACATTTTCAACTTTAAACAATTTACGGTAAAAATTTTTTTGACATGAAAACGAAATAGACTGAAATAATAAAATATAATAAAATTAAAAACAAAATAAATTAACTTAACTTACTTCTTAAAACTAAAAAGAGGAAAAAAAAATAACAGTTTTAAATTAAATATTTAGATACTTATGTAGGTAGGTACTATTTATTATTATGTACCTACTTACCTACTAAGTATTAATTTTTTTTTAAATAATCTATAAATACTAAATAAAAGTATTTTTGTTGTAGGCAGTCAACCTATTACCAGTGATTAGTGATTAAGATATATTTAATTCGTTTCAATACAAAGACTTGGGACCGGTTGAATATATGTTTTATAACTCAGACTAGGTCAACGTTTTCGGAAAAAATCAAAACAATTAGCATTTTGTAAAACAAGTTAAACAACCATCAATTTATTGAACAGTTATTTACAGTTTATTTTTATTAAATTGTGTAGGCTTTTTTCAATTGTATCTATATATTATAGTATTCAGTATTCGACAATTACTCATTAAAATCCAATGTATTTTGTATTGTAACTAAATATTTTTAAGACAATTTTTGAAAGTATTTCACCAATTCATGACTTAAACTTTTTTATTACTGTTTATGTTGTACAATGCACGAGCGTGTATAAAAACATCTATCGATATTTCTTGAAAACAATTTCACATACCTACTCAGTACTCGCTTCACGTTTATTAGGTCTGTACAAACTATATAATATTATTAACGGTGTGTTGGTGTACATACTACACCATATTTGTTATTTTAGTTATAAATTATGAATAAAAAAAAAAAAATAATAATATCATCAATATTAAACTATACATTTTTGAATTTTTCTTTATTAATCTAAAACATAATTAATTTTATAATAACTATAATCTAAACATTTTTTTCTACCGGACGATTCGGGCCAACCGTCGAGTAGAAAAGCTGGTTTTGGACATCAGGGAATGTCCGACTTACAGACATACTGCACCGAGGATGACGAGAGGTCATTTTTCGGCGGACTGTCCGACCAGGACACCTGGCGGCCACCGAGCCACCACCTTGGGGGTTCTCGTTGGGCCGCGACGACGGTGTACTTCAACAAGCGGCCGACCCAAGCCGGCAGTTCTCTCGAGAGGAGGATGCTCGACGGCGATTTCTATGGCTTGCAGCGGCCTGCACGGGATCGGGAAGCGGTAAGTGGAGGACGAGTCTGGAAATCAGCCTTTGCCGGAGGACCACCACCATGGAAATGCTACCGGCCCGAGTGTTCGTTCTGGGGTCAGGCAGGCGGCCGGCCGGGCGGTTCGGACTTATAGATAGCTTCCGGCTGCAGATCGAGGTGCGGCCCGTGCGTGCCGGACCCGGAGACAGTGACATGAGGAGGAGGAGGAGGATGAACTTTCGGAGGTGACGGTGAAAACTGATAAAAGGGTAAGATGGTGATGGCAGGTGTACTGAAATTGTAATTTTAAGAAAATGATTAACAATTTTGACGATTTTTCGACATACTGCAGTATAGTTATTTGGTATACTGTATAATAAGTCGCAACACTCTGAGTTCATAAATACTGTATACTTATAACTTACGTGTTAAGTTATAATATAATATGTTGTTTTGTTGTCTGATTGGTAATTGGTAGTATAGGTAGTAACTACTAACTAGTATTTGATTTGGAGTTTGGATACTGGTTAGGTATTGAAATATAATGGCCGGCTATTGCCGGCTTTTGCTGTGATGTATACATTTTCGAGCTTCTCTTGGAACTTGCGAAGTCTCTTCTTACCCCGTTCAGTTTCACCGTCACTCCGTTTGTTCCTCCTCAACTTCGACTCTGTTGTCACCATCTCCCGGTCCCGACACCTGCAACTCTGGCACGCGCACCTCGACGTCTGCAGCAGGCTTTCTAGTCCCTTTCGCCCGGCCGCTTGCCCTCCCCGACCACAGCAGAACGAACACCGTCCTCGCTCACGGGCGGGCCGGCAGCATTTCCATGACATTATGTCTTCGGTGGTCCTCC